TATTCCGGTAGACGAGACGTTATTTATTTATTTATTTATTATTTATTCTTTCAGCCATGCCTTACTGGCTAAGTGTGAATTAAGTGTAAAGTTAGAGTTACAAATCAAGTTCAAATAAAGTTTCACGTTCATCATTGAAAAATTATGAAAAATAAAATTAAAAATGAAAATAAAATCAACGGAATTAAACTAAACGCAATCAAATTATTCAGTAGACGAGACATAAAATTTATTGAGATAAAACATAAGGATCAGAAATTGTAACATTTTCCTTTTCCCTGTTAAAATAGAATTTTGCAGACTCAGTTTTAACACACTATTAATTTTCCATTTACGCAATATTTTATGATTCGACTATCCTTGAATATCTTAAAAATGTTTGTGTATAAAACGCGCAGTTTTTTTTTAAACGACATCGTGAGAAATACATTTGAGCAACATCGATAAGCGATAATTTTAAGAGAGATATCTTCCTCAATTTAATCTCATTATGGGATCGTCTGGAGTATCGATTTATCGTTGAAAAGATTTGCATACGAGAGGAATACGCATTCGATGGAATCGATTGACTGAAATTGATTTAGCGGTAGGTGTCGGCTCATCCGTTAATCATCGGGTTCATCGCGACTTCTTAGGAGAATCATTTATTATCGTTATCCTTCAGCGCGCCACTAATGACGCGGATAAACACGCGTGCCACGGCGAGAATAAAAATCGTCGATGAGGAACCTCAATTTTTCACCGGTTTGCGGACAAGCTTTTACTTGATGTTCCGATTATGTTCTATCATCCTTGGAAAGAAATGTTCTATCTTAGGTTATTGGATTTATGCATAATCACATGTACAGATTACTGCGTTAGAAGCCTTCTTAAAAAATGTTCAATCATTTCATTTGTTATTTATATATATTATTTTATTAAATCTGAAATTAATATCGCGATTTATATGACTCGGTGGTAATTGACGCCTCGTGAAAAGGAATTAGGACCGAAACGTCGAATACATTTTAAGTGAACCCCTTTCGTACGTGCAACCCGCGTCCCATCAGCATTCGTGCTCCCTTATTAATAGTTTCGCCACGCACCTTTTGCTCTTACACGGCTTCTCAGGCCCTGTCTAGCCGACGGCCTTAGCTTGACCACCCGCGTTACGTCGGCGAGGATTACAAAAGGAGAGCCGCGATAGTCAGCGTAGTAAATTTCTAATGAGAAGTTAGAAAATTCAACTTACTTTGGAGGCCCCTCTCTTGAGACTTTGTACAAAATTGATGATTAATATCTATATCTAATATAAATTTCTAACAAACTTCAAGAAAGAATAGACATCATATTTACGTAAATAAGCCTTCAATGCAATATTGAAATATTAATTCATTCTTCGATTTCCATTCTTAAGCTGTTGTCACTTAAGAGTCTTAATACAATTCGACTAATCCGGTTTAAAAAGTGGCTGACAATTATTACATATACTGTTAAGTCGAATTCAAAAGAAGATGTCATTAATCTTGTTTTGCGCTATATCTATATGTAATTCTGAATTATCTTCATTATAGTTCCGCATCTTCATTGACAATGAGAATTATTCAAGATAATTACGTTCTAAACCGCGGTTACGCGATTCTTGTTTATAACTAACATATGCAAATCTATGACGTCATTTGCCCGCAAAATAATATTTACGATTCGAATATTCGCGGATAACGAACTTTTAAGCAATACTGTGTGTTCGTTTATTTAATTATGACACGGAAATACAAAATTAGCAGAAGAGGGGAGAAATAATATTATGTTGCAACCTGCGTAAAGATGCACGTCAAGTGCGGTATGTAATGTATAATTACCTAATGACACTGTAGAAATTTATAATTTCCATTAACAGACGGTGAAAAAGTTACCTCGCTAGTCATTAGAAACTCGTTTACAGTTCTCATTAACAGTAGGCACTTCTCCTATAAAGTTAAATTTCTGATGCGATCTGACATTTATAAGGTCTCGTTAAGGTTAAACTAATTTTAAAATTTCTTTCTTGTGCTTAGGAAGACGATTAAAATCACGAGATAATTATAATTTAAAGGGAAAACAACATTTTTCCCATCCTTGCTAAGATTTTATTCTCTGCACTTATTACAAGTTCATCATTACAGAATCGCGATTTTATTCTCGTTGTCATTCACAAAATTTGGTGAATGGAACAAAAGTTTATCCAATGTCACGATCTTGCAACAAGTGTTTCCGACTTTGCTTAATTATCCCCGTCTTTTTCGATGATAACCTTATCTCAAGCATCGGATCTCTTTGAAGCTTTCATCATTATCAAATTTAAGCGACAGATTTATCGCGTCTGTTATCCTCCTTTTTCGTCTTTTTGACATTTGGCGGTCGTTGTCGTTTTATATTATTAGCAAAAAGTTAGAATCGCCGGATCATTCAAGAATACCAGATGATAATTGTTCAAATCATTTCTATCATATTGCATAATCGTCAATGTTATCACAAAAAAAAAATAAAATAAAATAAAAACTAAAAAATAAAGAAACACGAATCCATAGACGAGAAAATCGTCCGCTTACTCCGGTTTGCTTATTCCGCGCGTCGATGATCATCATCCATCCGATCGCGGATGCTATCGACATTCCTAGCTGAAGTCCCTCTCAGTAAGGAAGACGAACGAATCTAGAAACGAGATTCTACCGGTTTGAATTCCTCGATGATTGATCCACCGGGGTGGCAGCGAAGCCTGATGTCGCGATCGCACGGAATGTTTTAATCGCAATTATCCGTAGTTGAGATTAAAGCAATCGCGTACGCGTTTTTGGCCGACTTCCAAGCATCGATGATCCGATAACTCGTCTCGTATCTTTCGGCTACTTTAGGCCCACGTATTACGTACTCGCACGCATTACGCAAAGAAAGCAATTAGCCGGTAAACAGTGGACGTGATGCGGCGGAACCAGATGATGGTTCATTGATTTTCCCGGCGAATGACGGACGAGAATAGTACCGGCGAGGATGCCTATTAAGATAGCTTACAGCGGTCGAACCCCCACCGGTTACGTGATTTATGCAAATGACGATTGCCGATCATGCGCTCGCGCGAATAATTAAGGTGGACGAAAGCGCGTCACGATGTCGTATTTATATGCGTTCAATGCTCTTTGGCATTCTAAGAAAAAGTATGTATATTTGCACGTGTATCTCTTCTACGAATTCCGATAACTAATTTCAATATTTTATTATTATAGTGATCGATAAGGGAATTGATAAGTTTTACAAATTTTCAATAACAGTTTCTTGATGGGTTTTATTATATGACCGAAATATTATATAATTATATGTATATATGTACGAGTATATATATTGTATATAGAATGACAGATATTGGTGATAAAATCGAGATATTTGATATCAGTTTCTGCAAATTGTTTTTATCGGATTTTTTTCACAATTTCTATTTTGAAATTTGAATATATATATATACAATAATTAGAGTTCCTGTATATACAACTCACTCATTTTTAATTTGCTATACATGAAATATAATTTGTTTTTTTAATGAGTTGTATATATGACAGTGTCGTTTATTATCAGTATATACAGAGCGTGCAGAAACTTTAGATAGGACGACAGTTCTATTAAAGTTGTTTCATTAGCAGAACTTTAAACAAAGTTAAACTTAGGTAGATTTTAGTTGCATATATTCTCTTCGTTAACCCAAATTTCGCTTTATATGTACATACACATGAATAAACAAATGCGCGAGATTGGAAACAGGATGGTACTTCTTAGCAGTTAAACGAGCAATCAAAGTTTTAGTAAAGGTCAGTGCGGTCTAGTTACGAGAACGATATTCTTAGATCGTCTGTCTTCTCGATCTAATCGCATAGTAGAACTATTCGTTTCGTCGGTATTTTTTTTACACTGACAATGAATGCTTCGAATGTCGAAGGATCTCTCAATTTTGATTAAATGTCGTAAATGAACACTGAATATATCGTATAAAATTAGCATCGAAGAGGCAGGCAACCTATTGCGTTTCAAGGATAATGTTTGATTAGACATTCATTAATTAGAAACGGCACGAGTCTTTTGAACGATCGATAGACTCGATTTAAATTTTACACCCATTAAAAAACTAATGTGTTTTTTAGAAAAATTGATTACAAGCATCGAATTAAGATTTGGATGGATATAAAAAGAAAAATTTAAACTGTCATGTATTTCGTCCATTACTGCTTTACGAAAGCATAATAAGATAATGCATCATTAAAATATTTTAAAATTATTGCAATTGATAATTATATATATATTGTTTATTTATTAATATCATTAAAATAATCGTGTTTTTAAATTATTGAATTATATAAAATAATTTACTTAAGAAAATAATTCAGTTTTATATAAAATTAAAATACATTTTCTTCTTAAATTAATTATTTTAATTATTAATTGAGTATCCTGGCAATGATAATTTGTTTCAATATTATATTACATCTTGAATTTTATTATGAATACTTATAGATTGTCTAAAGTAATTTTTAGAACTTGAAATCAAGCTTAAAGCGATGCTTTCGAGATGACACATAATATTTTCTTATAGACAAAAATATGTTTGCTTCATAAATCTAACAATATGAAATGTCAAGCTGCGATCAGCTGATCGCCTAAATATTTCTTCGTTTTATACGATGATATTAAGCATTCAAAATCGAATTTACGAGAATATAACGTGCACGAGAATTATCAAAATAACTTCTCAAAACTAATAATTCTATAACAATTTTAATTATAATGAATCTCCTCTCTTTCTCTTTCAGTTTGCTTAATATTTGCTCAGATATCATTATACATTTTTTCAATAACATATTAATTTTATATTATTCTCTTTATATTATGCAACTTAAACTTGGGAAATATTAAATTTTACGAGTCGAAATTTTGTTTTGGAAATTCTTTTTTGGATCGACCAGTCGTCGAGTGATATAACATGAGAAAGTACTCACTGTAATCGGAGGTATCGTCATTGGAGCCGTTCACCGTGCCGTCCGGTAGGATTTGTAGATGACGATTCTTGATGTACATCTGTATCTTTCGCGAGGCTCCGGTGATGTGCGAGAGATTGGCCGATCTTTCGGCTCGGGTGCTCGCGTCGCCGGCCAGGTCGATGGATCCTGCACTCACTGCACCGATAATCGCGCCGATCCCGAGAATACTCGCGGTCGGTCTTGCACTCAACTTAATCACACTCGACGAACCGAGTCCGCGTTGCCCGAAGGCGACGAGGAAGAGAAGGAGGACCAGTTGAAGGAACGAGCGGACTCGCCCGTTTCCGATTCTCCTCCTGTCCTGGCCGATCCTTCCGGTCCGCTCCTTCACCGAGCGGACTCCTTCATCATCATCATCGTCATCAACGCGTCGTCTCGAATCGCGGTTGTCCAATTCCTCGTCGAGAGATCTCTCGACATCCTTCTGCAAATTGTCCTTCAGGGATCGCTCCGTCGAAAAGCGAGTACGCGAGCGGTGACTAGAGAGAAGAAGAGAACGATCTTCCGTTATCCTGGTCCTTCCTGGATAATCGAAAGTGGTCCGGGATGTGTCGAGATTACTGCTATCGCGCCTCGTCTGGGATCGATCTTGGAGACTTCGACGCCTCGCGATCGAGTCCGCTATCGCGAGACAAGACTGTTCCGTCTCGTCGTCGCGTAGCCGCGATTCCACTCGCTCTTTCTCCTCGCTCTCCTGTGAGTTCCACGCGATCGGAAGCCGTTCGCGGGCATCCTCGATTTCCTCGGATTTCCTGGACGCGAAACAGACCGATCTGTCCTCTCTTCGTCTTCGACGCGGCGGCTGCGTTGATGAGTTCCGATCCGTTGCCGATCCTAGGATCCTGTCCTCCTTGTCACCGATTTTCGGAACCCTCGCGGATGAATCGGAGGGTGCTTTCACTTGAATTTCGATTTTTCGTCGCCAATCTTTCAGGACTCTTCCTCCTCTCGACTCTTGGCTCCTCGGTCCCCGGTTCTTATCGAACCTCGGCAATTTCGCGAAAATCGTTACGTGAATCGGCGTCGCAGTCGGGCGATCGGCACGGGAATCACAGTGCAGCACCCAATGCCCGCCCCTGTTGATCTCAGCGGGCATGACGGTCTCATCTGACACTCGTTTCCTTGCTCTCCTCCTTCTTAGTCGCGTTGTATTCGTTTCCCGTAGGATTTATCCGCCGATCTTTGTCGCGCGATCTCTCTCCGCGAGTTTCCCTCCTCTCGCTCTTCTCCGTCGTTTTCTTCCAAGATCGTCGTCACTTTCCTCGTTGTCACTTTCCTGGTTATCGTCAATGCAACGGTATCGATGAAGGCCGCGCGCGCTGCCAGCTGGCATCACAGCCGATTTCCGGTCGCTTCCGTCCACTGAAGACGGTGCCTCGGAAAGACGCGGACCGTCCATGCGCCTTCGTCGCGTTTTCGACACTCTTGCATTATTGCGGTTCTCGCCGATCGCGCTTTAGTAACGTGACAGTTCTAACTGGTGATCCAGCTGATCGCCGGACTATCCGGATGCAGACGAGAAACGACGGAATCAACGAATCGCGGAGTGACATCAGATCGACAGATTCTATCTCGCGAGTTTATTACGATTGTGTATTTTTTTTCTTCCTTCGTCCGAGGATACTCCATGCACTGCGAATGATCCTGGTGGTTGTATCGATCCGATCGGTCCTCGAGGACGATGATCGGTGTGGTCGATCCTCTTTTAAACGGTTTTGTCGCGGTATGCAGGTTGACGTTACCGGTTACTTTCGACCCTCTTTTTCTCTCTCCACGTTGCTATCAATTGGCGAGAACCGACACGCGTTACCTCGCCTTAACGGGTTTCTTAACTCTTTCTTTTTCTTTTTCTTTTTTTTTTCTCAACCGGGTCCTTTCCGCCAATTTGTCTCACCGATCATCTGTTTTTTTTTTTTTTTTTTTCCAAAGTCGCAATCACGCACGAAACAATCCTCTCTCGCAAAATATCGCTAACAGATCCCCACGTAACGCACCGCTAACACTTGTTCACGATTAGTTATCACTATTCGCCGAAGGAACGTGAACTCTCCACCTTCCTGAATCGACATCTCACTCCTGTCACGAACTTGCACCAACTCACAGGAACCTAACCGAGGGGGTTGAAAATCGAAACCGATCACGTGGTCTGACACGAGCGCCCTTAAAGAGACAATAAAATTGTCGCGATCGTTTAGCATCGATTTCGTTCAGTCTTCGGAAAGAAGAGAATGACCGGGCCGCCGGACCACGCGTCGCAATTGTCACCGGGGGGTCGCGACCGCGCGCGCGCGCGGGGTTATCTCGCAGGGTCGGATGATGCCGGTGCGGCGTCCGAGAAACTACTGAACGAGTGCCGCGGTTCTCTTCCCCGGCGTTCAGGCACGCTCCTCGGTTCGCTCTCGTAGAGAGACCGAACCGGCGCGGCGGCGGCGGCGGCGGCAATCCGGCGGCGGCGGCGGTGGAGGCAGCAGCCGAGAGTGAAACCACCAACACTATACTACCAGCGGGACGCACGACTCGGCTGGCTCTACTCACACGTGCCCGTCGTACCAGCAGCATCCCATCCCGCGCTCACCGGCTGAAGGAGCCGGCCGGTTAGTTAGTAGCTTCGTCGTTATGTCTCGCTATCGTCGTTTCGTTAAGATCGTCGTCGCGTTCCGCTTAATATTGTCAGCTCGCTGGCTGTCGCGCTTCCGTTCCATTCCACGGAGCACGCGACAGTTCTGGATACGGTGCGTTCGCTACCGCATCGGCATCAGCATCATCGTCACCACCACTACCACGCGCCGCAGCTTTTTCTATCCCCTCTTACGAGCTGCTCTGGATAGAGAATCTCTTCTTCTTCCTCTTCTCTCGTCTGCGTTCAAAGACTTAGCTTTGTCTCTGTCTTGTGCTCTTCTTTCTCTTCTTCCTACTCTCGGCAGCTCGCTCTTGTCTCGACTTCTTCTCCTTCTCTTTCACTCGGTTCCGCTTCTTTTCTCCTTGATCACGGATCGTCTCCTCCGATCCACTTCTCCTGATCTATCCCAGGTCTATCGCGAGCAACGCGAGCGACGTATTTTTTTTTTTCTACAAGAGAGTGATCAGGGGTCACTGTTGCGGATGCACGAAATCACCTGCGAACTGCTCTTATTCTCTTCCGCTGTCACCTTCCTCCGTCTTTGGTTCCTTTTAATAGGATGGTTTTTGACATTTGTTTTACATCGATTGATCCTGAAGAACGACAGTACAATCGGATGCTGTCGCTGTTGCCACTCGTTTCCTTCGGCTACGTCTTCCTCCCATTCTCTCTTATTTGAAATCCAAAGTCGCTCTCATTAAACGGTATGCTTGATGTCTGCAAATGCAAAGTGGATCGTTATGCACAATAAACATTAAAATTCTAATTCTAATTATTATTAAAATATAAGTATAATTCTAATTATTAAGCTAATTAAAGTAATAATGAATAAAGCTTCGATATATTAGGAGAGAGAATAATTTATTCTCTATTCAATCACGCGAAGATTCTGATATTCTTTCTCGCTGATGATTTTTTATAGATACAGAGCCAGTGACTTAGGACGTTGAATTAATAAATGTCCCTTAATCGATCGAGTATATACTTGAAATTTTTCTCGAAACCTATATACGATGTAGAGAGTTGGTTGATTTTTCATTTTATAAGTTTAATATCTCTTTCGCAATTTCTGAGCAATTTCCGTTTAAATCAAAGTCCGGAATCTTATAACAAGCGGAGACGCTGTAATTTCATTCCGAAGAAGCGCGACGATTAAGGCAATGATCGAACCGCCCTGCGATGTAAAAGCACGCGCGCGACCGACTCTCTGACGCGAGAACCGATATATACCGATTTCTTCCCTCGCTCGGAGAAAACTCGCCGGCGCGCTCCAGAAGTGGAAATGTCCGCTTCTTACCTGGTGCTTCTTTCCCGCCACGTATAGGAGGATAATGGAGAGATACCATTCGAGCCATATGCAACCATTTTTATAGCTTACGCGTATTTTAGATATTGTTAGGCACGTCATGCACACAAGGGAAGATGCGAGTAATTAGGGTAGCCAGAATTGCCGAATATTCTCGCAACGCGTGATCCACGTGTTAGCTAAAATTATAAGTTGTTCGATAAAAGAATGTTGTAATCGTAGTTTGACGCTATTTTATAATTTTTAACATATACGTATATGTGTGGCAATAATTTATTGTTTATTTTTTTTTATCTCTGCTGTAACTTTGAACGGTTTTTCCAGTTTATACTACTGTAATTTGTGTGAATAAGTATTATTAAATGTCAACTGTAAGGCTTTATATTGAAAGTTACACTTACATAATAAATACTGTTAAAGTAAAATGTGATTTATATTATGTTATTTATAAATAGATTTTATTGCAAGATTTTATTATTTGCATCTTTGATTCGTAAAAACATTTTTAACATTCTTGAAACTATCGATATGAGATATCTTATTTCAAAATTTGTCTATTCATATTCGATATATCTCATTGTAAGATATCTTGAAAAGTTTATCTATATCTGAGATAATGTTTCTTCTTGTGATAGGAAGAGAAAATGATTGCTTTGTTCCATTACTTGTCACAAAGCTACAAAGGCGTTCAGGTAGCAGAAAAGATAGATAAGTGAGGTAGCATTAAATTTTCTAAAAAAATAATAAGAATAATCTAAAGAAAAATATTCCAAAGATTAAGATAAGAAATTTTTCAGTCATTAGTTTGACATTTTTATATATTATGTAGTCCATGAACGTTTTTCGGTGTTGTTATATGAAGCATACTTTTTTAAAGATTGAAGAAAGCATAAGCACAGGAATAATAATACACTATTGAAAATTATAAAATCTTACTCTTCTCGCTTTTCTTTTAATTTCGACTAGATCTTCTCTTTTATTTTTTTAGAATTTTACATTGTTTAATTATGAAAGTCAAGATATGCAGTATGTACAAAAAGATACTTTTGAAAAAAATAGGAAAGGAATTTCCGAAAAATCTTTGTAGCATTTTTTTATTTGTTAGGAAAACTCGCTCCTTATAAATTTTTAAATAATAATAATAATAATAATTTTTATATAATTTTTAAATATTTAATGATTTGATGAAAGATAATTCACGGGGAAGCTATGAGGATGCTATTGTATGAGAAGCATTTATGTTATAGATTTTTAAATATTCCTAAATGAGTTTAAACACGTGGAAAATATTCGGTTGGAGATAATAAATATCGAGTTACTCGTAAAAATGAATGATAGAGAGATTTAAAAGAAATTTTATGTTGTCAAGAATCTTTTAAGGAAGCTTGCCAGAGATTAAAAAAACGCACTTTCCTGGTTTTCAGGCGGATATAGATAAAAGAAAAAGATAACTAATTTATATATAAATTTAGAAGAAAAAATATTTCCTGGAAAAACTTTGTAGCATTGATTCGTTAGAAAAATCACTTTTTATAAACTTTTATCGCATAAATACATGTTTATTAACATAAAGTGATGAATTGAGATCTAGATTTTGATAAGTAAGACTTGATCATTGATCTTAAATTTATTTTAAATATTTTTTATCAATATTTAAATTGTAATACAAATAGAATTTTTATATTTTTTTTTTCTTCGATTTTAATAAACTCTTGCTCTTGTAATCGAGTATAAGCCCGGCTAGCTCAGTCGGTAGAGCATGAGACTCTTAATCTCAGGGTCGTGGGTTCGAGCCCCACGTTGGGCGAATTTCTTTTGCTTTAGAATTTTATGGTAGCCCTATATAAGCTTAAATTTATTATCTTTTTATCCGAGAACGATAGACGAAAGGTTTTCCATGGTTAATCTGTTCTAACACACACAGTTTAGCTGTATCGTAGTATCTTTTCTACAACACATGCATCGTTCAAGAATAGTTTTCTTTAACTAATTTAGGACTTTTCTGTAAAATCTTTGATAAAACAACTGTAATAAGACACGCTACTTTTTCTCTAATGAAACTATTAAATTCTCAATATTAAATTTTCATAAACTATACTGAGCTACAACTTGAAAATTTTAATTCGGATAATATCTACTTGAGTTTATTCATATTTTATATCTCGATATAATTTGTCTGTCTTTAATTCTGTCCGAGATTGATGAATAATGAAATTTATTGCACAGCTGATATTTGCGCAGCTGCGATCAATGACTTTCTAGAGAGCAACAGCGATCATTAATACTTATTAAGAGGACGCTGAAAAAATTGTGCTATCTATTACTGTTTGATGTAACAACTTTACATGGCTCATCTCAATTTCATCTGACACAAGCTGCAATTTAATAAAATCTAATATTCGTCAAGTATACATGAAAGAATATGGATAACAATTAGTGATAAGAGCAGGCTAAGAATAAATTTTTTTTATCGGAGTTATATCAAATATGAAGTCTATAAAATGATTATTTACATATCTGCTTCAAAAAATAGATCTGTCAATATATTAGTGATATGCATATTATTAATTTATTGACAAATATATTAATAATAATTTTTTTAAGCAGATATATGTTAACAATATAATTATATAATAATTATCTTATTGTGATGAAATTTCTGGTGGAACACACGCAAAAAATGTGTCGCTTTTAAATTTTCATTTAAGTCATGAGTGAATATTTTCCTGAAAAATTTGCGATGTGTTGAGATTGCACAAGGATCAGTTGCTTTTTCATATGAATTTCCCGAAATAAGAATATAAATCTCTATATCTGGTCGTGTTTTCCTTCGACAGACCGCCGTTCTATACGAAGCATAGGATCACTTAATTGGAGGGGCGTCATTGCTCTTTTGTATTTATGCATTATAATAAGCCCGAGGGTTTTTTGTTGGGATGATATTATAATCATCGGCGCTAACACGGACGTTTGAATATAAGGGCTTGATCAGGCCACAGCAGCAAAATAATAAGTCACGAGGAGAGGGCAGACAAATGCAATGGCGTGGTACCCAATTTATGCAAATAAAATGTCAACACACATGATTAGTTCAAAATTAAGTTTCACTTGGAAAAATGCATCTCGATTCATATACAATATATTATAATATATAATATAAAATATTTTATATATATTATATTATTATATATATATATATTATTTTCACGTCAGTCTTATAAAACAATTATAAGCGATAAAAAATAATAAGTGTACATTATTATAATTTAAGAATATTTAAAAATATATAAGATTTTGCAATTATATTTTACTTGAATATATAAAAAATGTCCAATGGGTGATTTAAAATTTGATAATTTAAATTCTAAATTCTTGACATTAGTCGGGGAGTATTAATCGCACAGGCGAGCGATGCAAACGACATACACGAGCAGTTTTTTGTAAAAGTGCCTCCGCAGGCACAGCCATAAACCTTTTTACGAAATGATCAAGTTTAATGAGAGTGCTAAGTGTTAATTAAATCTCGTCCACAGTTTTCGCGCACTCGTTTTTCCGACGAGGATACTTCAGTGACGTTCTGGCGAGGGCTTCTGCGCCAATGAAGAGTGCCGGAGATTTTATAGTTTAATAATAGAGCGGTGTGCGCGGGTATATAGAGAGTGTTTGCTTATCGCATCCCTGATTTCCAGCCGAAGACACGACGTCGTCGTACTTATAAGAGAGGACGAGAGAGAGAGAGAAAGATGGAAATATCGAGGGAATGAGATAAATGAGGAAAGTGAGGGCGAAATAAGATGCAACAAGAAGGAGACATCGTTTGTGCATGTGTGTTATGCAGCGAGTGGTAACGAAAGGGTGGGTATCCCAGCCTCATCCCCCGGATGCGAATAATCGAAGGATAATTTGAGCCGGCGGGTATCTCATCGCGTATTTCGTCCGAGTTTACCGAGTACGCCTTGTTTTAGTTATAATCGATAGCTTAGAGTTAGAGAGGCCAGTAATATTTTCCGATACCAAAAATACATAAATAAGTACATTAAGGGCGATAATGACATATATAGCTTCGTGGTAATTATACTCTGTTTCTTAAACACATTAATTATCTTCGCACTGAATTAATCTAACTCGCAACGCAGCGTAATATCGCAAATAACATAGGAAACACATTTAATAAGCATAACGTATATAAAATAACGTGAAATGTGAGATATCTCTCTTATATTACTTCTGAAATTACGGACTATTTCTTCACGTCATTATCATTTTTTAATAATAAAAGGCATATATATGCTTATAAGATTTCATAATTAGACGGCAATATGTGACGATGCATGTGCAATTTGATAATATTTAACGTAATGCGCGCGCTAATAAATCTCTTTTTCAGCATCTGTAATTAAGACTTCTTTTC